GGCACACTTCAATCCGAGCAGTACTTGCATTGGTGGCTAGTTGGGATTTGCATTTAGAGCAGATGGATGCTAAAACTGTTTTTTTGCATGGTGATTTAGAGGAGCAGATCTACATGTGGCAACCTGAAGGTTTCACTCAACCTGGAAACGAACATTTAGTTTGCAGATTGAAGAAATCTTTGTACGGGTTAAAACAGTCTCCGAGACAGTGGTATAAACGGTTTGACTCCTATATGATCAAGATTGGCTACAACCGATGTGAGTATGATTGTTGTGTCTATGTTAAGAGCCTTGATGATGGTTCTTTTATTTTTCTATTACTGTATGTTGATGATATGTTGATTGCTGCGAAGAACATGGATGATGTTATCGGTTTGAAAACTTTATTGAGTCAGGAATTTGATATGAAAGATTTAGGTGCTGCAAAGAAAATTCTTGGAATGGAAATTTGCAGGGACAGAGACTCAAGGAAACTGCGGCTATCTCAACGGGGTTATGTTGAGAAAATGCTAGAAAGGTTTGCGATGAGCAGCGCAAAACCAGTTAGCACTCCATTGGCGAATCACTTTAAGCTCTCATCAGAACAGTGCCCCAAGACAGATAAGGAAGCTGAAGATATGGCAAAGGTTCCGTATTCTAATGCTGTTGGCTGCTTGATGTATGCGATGGTATGTACTCGTCCTGATTTAGCTCATGCTGTTAGTCAAGTTTGTAAGTACATGTCTAAACCTGGTAAGCAACATTGTGAAGCAGTCAAGTGGATCTTTCGGTACTTAAAGGGTACTGTGGGACATGGAATTGTTTTTGGGAGTCAGCGGGATAACCCTTTGGTTGTAGGATATGTGGATTCAGATTATGCAGGTGACTTGGATAATAGAAGATCTACGACAGGGTATGTGTTTACTCTTGGTGGAGGGCCTATTTGCTGGAAGTCTACTGTTCAATCTGTCGTGGCACTATCTACAACTGAAGCTGAATACATGGCAGCGGCTGAAGCTGCAAAAGAAGCTTTATGGCTTACTGGTTTAGTGAAGGAGTTGGGTGTTCAACAAGGTGGAGTTCAGTTGCTTTGTGATAATCAAAGTGCTATTCACTTGGCTAAGAATCAGGTGTATCGTGCTAGAACTAAACATATTGATGTAAGGTTCCACAAGATCAGAGAGTTGGTTGCATCTGGAGAGGTTTTGTTTCAGAAGGTACATACTGATGAGAATGCCGCTGATATGTTCACCAAGCCAGTTACGACAGACAAGTTCAAGCATTGCTTGGACTTGTTGAATGTTTCGAGTTGTTAAAGAAGCAAGGTAACCCAACCCACATTGAAGTTTCCAAGGGGCAGGATATTCGCCAAGGTGGAGATTTGTTATGTATGGCTCATAAAAAGTCTCATTGTGGGGTTACGAATTATGTGGGTTGGGGGTGTGGGGGCGCAGCCCCCGCGGTACGGTACAGGGTTGATTTTGTAATTATGTACCAGGGTTTTCTATTATAAATAGAGATGTAACCTAGACCTAAAAAGATCATTGAATAAAAACTTCTAGCGCCGCCTAGGCACCGAGGACGTAAGCACATTGCCGAACCTCGTAAAATTCTCGTGTTCTTTTGTTTTCTTTACCCGTTTTCGTCAACATAAAGGATGCAGAGTTACACTACATAAAGAGAAGATTCGTTTCAGCATAAGCTTTTTCCTTTTGTAACAGACGCTCTCTACAGAACATCATGCTTTAAACATGCAGAGAAGGATGAGTTTTTCAATTTTAAAATAACGTAATGTGATATATATATATATATGATGTTTTGTTTGATCAGTTTAATACACACAAACTCAAAATTTTTATTCTTTTAAATTCTCTCTCTCATCGTTCAAACTTAAAAGCTCACCCGGCGACTTTTTTTTTTTACTATTGTTATTACTATAGTTTGATTTATGAAATTAAAATCATAATTGTTTTTAAATTTGAGAAATATTTCATCATGTCCTTCGTGAGAAATATAAATTTTGAGGAGTTGATCACGAAGATTTCCTTTAAAGTTTGAATTAAAAATAATAAAAGTCTTTGTTACATTACTTATTCCCTACTAAATTGGTTCTAATAATATGTGTATAACGTTCTATCTTTCCAGTGACAATGATATTGATATACTGATTAACAATCACGACACCAATTTTATAGTTCATGTAGAGAGCTACACACAATTTGTTAAAATTATTATGGATCATTCAAGGTCATATGTCTCTGAGTATGAGTTGGTAGATCAAGTTAAAAGTCCAACTCAAAGATTTTGTAATAATTTCACATCATTAATGATAAATTTTAATAGATGGATGCTCTATACTTCGATGAGAAAGGACTCATCAGTTACTACATATGATGTCAAACGAGGAATGTTACCCCCTGAAATGTATAATTCATACAGAAACACCCCTTCAAGTTCAATGGGAATATCTTCCTATGCTAATTTCTTTGACTTGAACATTGAAATGCCATTAACATAACAGTTCATACATATCACTTATGTTGCTATGTCTTGCAGTTCAATAGAGAGTTCTTACGTTGTTTGACCTAAATGCATCTGTATGTACTCATGATGTGAAAACAAAACATATGATTATTTATCTTCAGAAGAATCGCTTCGTAAGCCCGATGTCGATGGTGTTGATATATATTTTATTCAATCATAATCGGCTTCATTTAACATGATTCCAACGATGCCAATACTGACGATGACGATGCTGATGATGAAGTCTCCACAACAAGGACTTGAAATGAAATGGGATAGGTGAAAGTAGTATGAACCAAGCACAATATGAACCTCCATCCTATATGTAAACACCATCGTGGCTTAAAATTGGCATATCAAGAAAGATAATTATTGGAATGGAGTTACCAACCAAATAGCTCACATTAACTGTAATTAGAAATTACAACATATGTAATTTCTTTTGTTTTAGAGTCAAACAAGCAAATAAAGATAACTATGACCATGATTATTTTAAATATTTTACATAACTAAATTTTATAAAATATATATTTAAAAACCATTTGACTTGAGGTTTTTAAAATATATTTTTTCATATTTTTATCAACAATAAGTTTTAAATAATAATGAGTCAAAGTTAAAAAAATTGACTAGAAAAAATCAATAAAGGACATAGGGAATAAACAATTAGGATGTAAGGTAAGCTAAGGTGGAGTAGGACTTATGGTTTTAGAGACGAAAGGTATTAGGCAGCGCAGTGCTAGAGGTCCAGTCTTGTTGTTTATCTTTCTTTTTTTAACTTCTGACAACGATCAATCAATCGTTTTAATATTCTAGAGATATCCTGTTAATTAAGGGTCTAAACAAGCAATAAAAGAACTTATATAAATAAGAGAACTAATACAAGCAAAGTTTTATAATCGCAACAGAACACACAATAGCTTAAACCAACAAAGTTCGGGTAGTGTCTAGCCAAGCGCGCATGCATACACAGTTTGCGGTTCATGGAACACAACAGATTTTGTATGTAGAAGCCTTTACTTTCATATCCCATCATTCAAAGTTCCTACGAATCTAGAAACATTACATCGGAAAGATAATTATCATATTTACCAGAGAGATATGAGCTACCCGATGTCTGTTCCATTTGGAATTTGCATGCATCCCTTGAGCATAAGCTGAATTATGATTCAAGTAGATAGAATGCTCATTTGGCAACATACTGAATGACAATGAAGAGGTTCAATGGATGATGGCAAAGCATTGTGTTCACCATTAGAATTCCCTGAAGAATGGTTTCCAAAACCCCAAGGGTCCAAGCTGAAAGTTTTGGATCCTTCAGAAGCAGTGGGTCTGAATGATTAAACCTGCAGCTTGATCCATATCCACAAGAAACAGTACGCATATAATATAGACACTCTTTCTCGAACTGAAATGAATGTAGAATTAGTTCACATTGTACACCGAAAAGGTAGATATATGAGGAAACAACAACATAACATTGTAAAACATAAAATTTATACCTTTCGAATTGGCAGGTCTAGGAAGTTAAGTTCTAGCGGAGGTAACTTGGACTTTTCCAGGTATCCGGATTTCTCTTTAGAATGACTATACCTACAAGCTTCTTCTTTTCCATACTGAAGTAACACTGCCAATGTAAAGGGTATACAAATCAAAATTCCTAATAACAAGTTTGAAATTCAAAGTCTTTTCATAAGACTAACGTTCAAACCTTGATTCAATCTGCCATGCTTGTTCTGCAACCTCATCCTTTTCCATCCTCTCATTTATACCCTTCAAGTGACACCCCAAAATGGCAAGAAGACAACCAAGTTAATGAAAAATCATTTTATTAGACAATTTCATAACACCGTTAACTTTTATCGGCGGAGTGACCAAAAAAGTTTAGTGTATAAAGTTAAATTAATAAATTGAGAAGTTTTAAACTTGAGTGATCAAAATAAGAGTAAAAAGAAAGTTGAGTGATGATATGTGTAGTTTACCCTTACAAAAAAGCACCTTTTAATAGATGTTTTCTATAAATAACACCTTTTAAGCAGTAAAAAAAATTGCTGCCTACTTTTGTACGGGATATTAACGGCTTTCGTAAAGCCGTTGGTTGTTGTAATAGGTAACTTCGTATGCCTACCTTTTTTATTTTAACGACGGTCTTAATTTTTTTCAATTAAATAAAGAAATACCACATTTTTAAAGTAAATGTCGATATTAAAACCCACATAAAGTGAGATGATATAAGCATTCTTAATTACTCGACCAATTAATGCATCTCTTTGTCTTACTCGGCTTTCATTCTCTTTCCAAAATTTATCCTACAATCAATCATTATGATCCTAATCCAACTTGCATGTTTTTTTTTTTCAGGTGTAGATGTGTTGTAGCCAAACAATAAACCAAATTAGTTACCATAATCCCTACACCTATACGCTCGATTGTCCATGGTACATGGTTAAACTGTACAAGTACAAGCATGAAAAAACTATTACCCATTAACCATTAAAGCGAAAAACATGGGGACTTTTCCTTTCAAGGCCTTCGGCCAAACATGGATCACTAACTCTGCTCGCTTATTTTTCTTCTTTTTTTACATTTTCAATCTTCTCTACAGAGGCTTTTTAATTGGGAAGCCTAACCATGCCCAATTTTTCTAACTGAATTTTGGACAGGGCACTGCATTTTAAGTGCCACCTTTCCTACTCTGGAACCCTAGAAGGGAGGGGGGGGGAGGGCAGTTGGGGGTGATGCTAATACTTCCTATATTTTACAGACAATCCTTTCAAAGCCATATTTCTCGAAAAGAAACTAGTTCGAAAGCGATTATACCAGGAAACCTTCGTCTCGCCAAAGCCGGTGCATTGGCTGTCACCTTCCTCTTCGCTACTAAACAGAGTTTGGTCCAAGCAATCTAGTGATACTCCAAATGCTAGATTATATGACTGACATGCCGAATGGCATACCCGCAGCCTGTTGTCCAAATCGTTATCACATTTTTGGATCGAAATCTGTTAAGGCAAAGAATAAGTGACAAGACCCAAAATGGAGATAACTATTAGTGAAAAACATGCTTGGAAATAGAAGAGTCGGGGAAAGCTACTTTACCCAGCAGGCCAGTCGCTTAGCAGCTGCATCACAGTAGCTGCTTCCAAATACATTATTAAACAACTTTCGTGCACCGCTAGGGAATAGACGGTGGTAGTTGGGCATGACAACAACTTCTTCTAGCTGCTGTAACATACTTGCTTCACTAGGTACACAATGTTGCCCAGACAACTCCCTCTCCAACACATCCTTGCATACTGAAAGACTCGAGAGGAGTGTAGAGCTATTCTGGCATGTGTAGCCTGCATAGTCAGAGCAGCGGAACTCACAAACTCCATTGTCACAGACACCGCCGTGGAGGCTGCATTGTTCATCACAAACAGCTGGCATATAATTCCAAATAAAATGGTAAGAACGAGGAAATACAAACAGGAAATATGCAATTAATTGACTGTATTTTTTTCCATACATACACAGCATGAAATGTTTCAATAATGAAATGAAAACCTTGAGAGGTGTCTGAATGTTTTAGAATATTGAAACATCACTCAACGCTTCATTTGGTTTTTCTTGAAAAAAGAGGGAATAATAGAAAGATCATATATCGTATATTTATGCTTAACAATGCCAGAAAAGGCATTACTGATATAGAAACCCCTCAAATTTTCATCCACAAATAATATAGAAAAAAACAACTATAAAGGACAGAAAGCGAGTATCTATACTCATATATGTACACATATTACCAGTGGAGCAGTCAATGCCGGTATGGCTGTTATCACATTCACAGACCCCATTTGAGAGGCACTTTCCATGCCCATTGCAATTGCTGGGGCAAGATCCTGAAAATCATACAACGCAAGGCCGGAAAAATAACATCAGTTTATTTAAAAGGATTGTCTTGGAAGAGAATTGGCATACCATGTTTTATCTTAGCTAAATAATGACTTTGAGAAGGATCGCGGAGCTCACTTTTACTACAATCTTGACCATGAAACCCCAGAAAGCAATGGCACTTTCCATTTACACAGTCACCGTTAAAATTACAAGAATTTGCACATTGGCCAGACACAGAAACCGCAGGAATGCTACAGAGTTCATGGTAAGAAGGACAAATCAGTTCACCTGCAGACAAAACATCAAAATAAATTATCAGTGCAAATAGATAGATTTTAATGACTGAAAAGATGGTTGATTGAAATTACCATTAAAACCAGGGAACTGAACTGGTCCACCAGATTTAGGACAGACTTTCCAAATACCATCCACGGCAACCTGAAAGAAATTTATTAACAAAATTAATTAAAAGGTGCAGGAGGGAAAGAATTTAACAAAAGCTATTATTTCAGTTAGCCAGTCCATGCAGGGAAAAGGTCGTAGCCAAGCTTTGCTTAGCAAACACCAAACCGTACCTCTAATGAATCATTTACACATCTGTGCTGGTAACAGCCATTTCCTTGGGCCACAGAACCACGCACAAAACCTTTACGCACCAAGGATGAAGCCATGCACCTATGTAATCATTAAAAGATGATTCATCAGCAATTGCCTCAAAATTCTAACCATGTCTAAGGTAAAAAGAAAAGTTTAAACAGAGCCCCAATAAAGTATTTTTGGGTCCAAAATCACCTGGAATTGCTCCCTCTCACTTCACCTAACATTCTGTCTGGGGCCCTAGCACTATTAGTGTCTGTACAAGATCCATCAGAATATTCCACAAAGTATGTGCAATAATCTGCCAGTGAGGACTGACCACCTGTAAAAGTCAATAACAAAGGCCATGGACTCTCAAGGACAAGTTGCATGCAGAATCCAAGTATCACATTAGGAAAATGTGAAACCAAAACTGAAAATAATTTCGCTATAATTGTAACTTAAATTTTTATATGTTAATACACTGGCTTTCAATCCCCATAAATAAGGAATTCAAGTTGCAAACAAGAACATACCCTTGTTAGCCTGAGGAAAATACCAAGCCCATTGAGGAAGGTCCTCACTATAACTTACAATAGGACAGTAGCCCTCTGCTTCCCTGTTATATGTACAGCCAGACAAATTGGCTGTATTGCAATGATATGCCCCCTTCCAGAGATTGCAAGGAGAGGTAACAAAATCTGTTCCTTGGTTGTGACCCCAATCAAGATGATCTGCCATGCTATAGTTAGCTTGATACCATCCGCTATCTTCCAACAATGCCAGTGTCATTTTCGAAACTACTGATCTTGTATCCACAGATCCCGTCATTATCTCATTCATCAAAAGTCGCTTTTCCCAGTGAGATCCTGCAGCCAAGTCATCAATCAAAACATTAAGGACCATATGGCTAAACCGCTGCATCTTCTGTTAAGAATTATATTTTGTACTCTACACTAACTTCCATGAGTAATCCACAACCAATGGCTCAAAATAGAGAGGGGGAAAGGCAATAATAACTAAGCCAAAATTGAATACCTGATGTGCCACGCCCTCCCCCATCTTCTAGCTCTAAGCCTGTAAAATTTTCTGAGAACGCCTGTCGATTAAACAATCATCAACTAGTCATTCAATTTTCTCATAGTGCTTTCTTTCAGTAATCTAAAGCCAAAAACCTCAGCACAACAAAGAAGGTAACAATACCCCATAATGATGTCGTGAATGCATAACAACACGTGGAAGCACCACACGAGTTACCATCCTCCCAAGCTTTTCATCTATGGTCTGTGCAGTGACCTGCAAATGCACAAAGTGATAACCATGGAATAGTGAGGTTCAAAAACTTCCCATCAAGTAAAGATATGAAAAAGTAAGCAACATACATTTTTTCATATTGAAAGTAACTAGACATAAGATGCAGTGTTGGAAGCATCTGTATGCATCCAAATCGCAAAATATTAAAAGTTCAACTGAAGTCTGATCTCAAAGGCAATGAACAAGTGACGCACAGTTGAACTTTTACTTTAGAATCCAGAACTTATCATGCAAATTGGTTTGATGTTCATATTCCCAGTACATGCCATGTAATTACCTGACTGCGCCTCCTTTTTCTCTCATCCCTAAAATGAGCAAAAGCATGTGGGCCAAAGCCAAGAACATGCATAACCTGGATGAAAACAACAAGGGTATTTAGGACAAGTAATTTCCTTCTATACTCTTTCAAATTCATAAAATTAAAATCATCAAACCTCATGGATAAGTGTAGCTGAAAGTAAAGTCTCCGCTTCAGCCGTTAAATGTCGAGGAGCAACATTCACATGACCTACAAAGCGGAAGTACAACATTGCTTTTGAGTTTAGATTTCTACTGCACACAAAAGCAACATTCTCCACACTTTAGAGATGGGACAACAAGCAATTACCAGCTATTGCACGGCCCCATTGGTCGCGTTCACACGCTACTGCCCATGCCAAAGTGTTGCCAGTGGTAGGTCTTGTAGTCACTAGAAGAACCAAGTCTGCATCAGCAACACCATCTGTAGGAAAAGATAGATAAAAATCGTGGTTACAAAAGAATTAATCTAACATGAAAATACTCTTAGAGGCCAACATCATGATGAAAATGGAATCAAAGTAACGTTAAGAAACTGCAATGAGATACCTTCAACATATTCACGAGGAAGCTGTACACCTCCATCTTGTCCGCATGCAGAATATCCACTCAATCTCAAATTCCCTCTCACAGGCTCAACAGCCAAGGCTCTCTTGAACCAGTCAGCAGTCTGTCCTAGAGCCTTCATTCAATTCCTTAGAAAAGTTAGCATTGGCTTAATCCTAACTCAACAAAAGCAAATTTAATTGTAGAATGTATAAACTGAAACCTTGCGAAGTCGGCGACGTTTTTCCTCCTTAGATATATCATCCAAAGTGCAATTATACCAACAGTCACCATAGATTGGAGGATCACCATGGGGATTGCAGGAGGGCAAGCCAGGCGGATAACTCAGAGGTGGCTCCCCAAGCTGGTAAAAGAAAATCCAGAAACAACAAAAAAAAAAACAAAGAAAGAAAACACCAAATACCCTCAATTAGACTTACAATCATGACCAGAACTACAATGCTAAAGATATCACCAAGGACACAAAAGCACCCACCTTCACAATGTCACCAATTTTTCGACAATCTCTATCCTGTGAGTGGCCAACAGCATCGTAATTTAAAAATATTCTTATAGGTTGTTTAGCATCCTTTGGATGACCAAGCAATTCGGGAATCCCAAGCAATGACCTTTCTTTGTGATCCACATGATTTGAGATACCTGAGTGCTCATAAACTTGAGGAGTAACAGAATAAACCTTATGGCCTGGTCGCCTCCACTGTTCAACTATCTGGTCATGAATACATGAATGCAAAGCAATGTTTTCACTGCTTCCTCTTTCTTGGCCTTCCCATTGCAGATCATCATGCTCCTGGAACTTAGCGGTAGCAGCTTCAAACCATAACAATAACAATAAAATCTGCAGTACAAGTAAGAAAAGGCTTGAGCTTTAAAGGGAATTACACAAACAAGAAACCCCAGAATTAGAAACTAAAACCAAAAGGGCAAAGAAAAACTCTATGCAACAATAGATATCTAATAAAACCAAACAGTGGCTAATACCAGCACCAAGATAAGTTTTTACAAATCATGAACTCAAATCTAGCTATTTGATGTGGCATTCACCCCCGAAAAATTTCAACTTCAAATAATTCAAAAGTAATAAGATGAGAACTGTAGATGTATGAATCCCAGAAACTTTCAAATTTCAAATAGTTCACGGTCTTATCCAACAAGCAAACCCTTAGTGAACAGCTTCCAAAAGGAAAGAATCCCAATATATCGTCGCTAAACTGTCAAAACAATAAATAAAATAAAACTATGGAGTAGCCAAAAAGAATCACATCTTCAAATGCAGAAAAGAAAAATAACAAAAAAAAAACTTTCAAAGTATTAAACAGCAAATTTCGAAGTATCTGATCCTTTTCGAACTAATTTTCTAAGTGAACCCATGTGTTCTGCAACCTGATATATTTCTACAATTAAAACCCACAACCATCCTAGCCTTTTCATACAATTCAAACAGTCTGAGAGAATAATTACAGTAAAATCGAAGCTTTACCTCCAATAAAACAGCAACAAATCGAAGCTTAAAATCAAATCTGGTTAAGTGACTTGAACCGAACCGGATTATAAGCTCCATGAAATGTCCAAAAGTAAAGCATCAACTCTTAAAATTCCATCAAATCTCTCCAATCGATTTTAGAACCCCAGAAATACAGCTCTTCGCTCCACATTTCTCCTCCAAAAGTACAAACCAAAAATTTTTCCAAGCAAAACCCAAAATTTACAGAGCTAAACACAAGCAAAATATATATTTTTTCCTGAATAGAAAATGAGGTGTTCTCCAAACAGTACTGCTAATAAGGGAAGAGATGAGAAATAGTGACAGTGAAGAAACGAAAGAGATAATTAAATGGGGGATAGAGGAGATGATAGAAAATTAATGAACATAAAATTCAAAGATTGCTGGGCTGGGTGCAACTAAAACATACATGCATACATACATGTATATGTGTATATATATACATATATTGTGCTTTCTTTTTTCTCTTTCAGAAATTGTTTTGTTTTTGAATTTTATGTAGGGGAAAAAATAAAAGGATATGTAACTAAAGCATAAATGTTTATAGGAATTTATCTAAAATAATAATTACTTATCCAATTATATTATACATATGTGGAGAAGAATTAAAAATTAAATTAACGTTATATATGTTGCAATTTTATTTAATTTCTAGATTTTAGGTCAATACCTAAACAATCTTTTTAATCTTAATGTCTTGATTTATTTATTATTAGAATATTTAGTGATTAATTCCGTTGTTCAAATCCTTGATTTAATTAATTTGATTTTTAATTTTTATACGGAAGAATTAATATGAATCACATGCAATTTATAATTTGTTTAGGTTAATATTCAACATTTATTTTTTCAAAGTCTCATCCTATATATTTAATTTACATGAAAACACGTTATTAAACAACAGGAATTCGATTTTGATCAAATAATAATAAGAGGATTTTAATTATTGATTTTTCTATATATAATTATTGATATTTAATTTATTTATAAATTTAAATAAAATATTAACATAAGTTTTTAATTTAAATTTTTCTAAATATGTACTATTTTATAATTACTTTATACTATTCAAAAAGAGAAAAATTAATATAAATCTAATTAAATTCAAATCAAAAGTTTAATATTTTATTAATATTGTATAATACATTTTTAAAAAGCTAGTATAACTAATATTTAATTTAAACCAAATATTATATATTATTGATACAATTCCCAATCTTCTTGTGAAAAATAATGATGATGATTTTTTCTTTCCTTTCTTACTTTTCAATTTTTGGTAAAATTTTCAGAAAATTTTACCAAAAATTGAAAAGTATGATAAATGATAAAATATAGGCTTAATGGTTATTTTACTATGTAGTAAATTTAAATAAGTAATTTTATTTCTATTTTTTAAAATATATTAATTTTGCCTTTAAATTAATGTAATTGTATTAATTTTATCTTTTGACTAATGATGATCGTTATGATATTGATGTGATATTCATTATGTTGATGACTTTGTAGATAACCCCACGATTGAACCTCTGTCAATCTTACGTAATTTACTAAAGACAAACCAACATCAACTAGAATCATCTCATTTAAATCAACCTACAAACAGTTATCACCATCATAGGTTTGACATCAGTCGTCCTATAGTCGAGATATTTATATTATGAGGAAAGACTGAAGAAGGGATCTTCCCTCCCAACGTTCATCTACATTATTCATCGTCTCTTCTATGCTACCTTTATTTTCTCTATCTTACGGAAAATCATCGGTTAACAATAGTATCTACATCAATCATGACTCTTTGCCCAAATAAAAAAGAGTGAACTAATTCAATTCCCTTGTTACCATCAATAGTACCAATAGATTAGGACTTAGAAAAAAGTTAAATTTCAATATATAAAAAAATAATCATGAGGGATTAGTATTCGAACGAGTCATGGAGGATTTGATATACCTTGGAGTAGTAAAGTAGTTCCGGAAGATTTTGAAAGGGATGGAAAACCACTGATTAATTGGGCATGAAGCAAACCAATGCATACATTTCAGGTTTTGTTTGGTTTTCAACGTTGAGAAATTAAAAAGGTAACCTTTTAATTTCCTTACCTCTTATGTCACATTTTTTGAAACATATTAGATTCAGAGTTTCGGACATAACGCGAACTACAATGTTGGTTTTAGAAACTATTCCTATTTTCGTGTGAAAAAGGTAACCAAAAATATCTCTACCCAAAGAAACGTCAAATGTTTAATCATGAAATTCAAGACTTATAGGAACATTGATGTTAAATTAAGTGGTCCCAAATGTATATTTTCTTTTGGGTAAACTACAAGTTTAGTATATAAACTATTATTTTTATTTCGTTTTAGTACTCAAATTTTATTTTTTTTTCAAAATCATATATAATATTTAGTTTAAGTTTATTTTGGCATTCCGTCGTTAAAAACTTAACGGTGAAGCTGAAGTGTCACAATAAGATAATACCACATCATCACTGAAAAAAATATCACATCAACAGTTCTGTTAAGTTTTTAATGATGGATACTAAAATGAAACCTAAACTAAACGTTAGATGTGATTTTGAAAAAAATAAAGTTTGAATATCAAAAGGGAACAAAAGTAATAATTTAGATACTAAATATATAGTTTGCCTTTTTTTCTTATAAAAATTTATGAACTACGTTAATAAAACATATAATAATCACCTTATGCCATTCAAAATAATAATATGAATGAATGAATGAAAAAGAGTTGTTAGGCTTTAGTGTTTTTCCGGCCAATTGTTAAGTACTTCAAATATTATAGTCTTTAGTATGAGTTTATTACAACTTTCTTGTAAGATAAAAACTTGTCTATCAAAACCCATTGAATAGCGTAGATAGCTAAAAAGAAATGTTTTTTTTATAAGACTCGTCTCAATGGAAAAAGAGAGCATTGTTTTTCTTAGAGGACTCAGATTCAAACAGATGCATTTACATGGTGTGTGTACATTAACAATGTCTAAGAAATTTTTTGAATAAATACTACATTATAATCACCGTGTACTATTAAAAAACGATTTACAGCTCTTCTACCTTAATCAAGCTTTTAAAATTCTATTTATCTGGGTATTAACCTAACCACAACTTCAATTTGTCAATGATAAAGATCCTTAATTGGACCATCGGAGCATGGATAAATAATTAATTAAAATATTTCGTTAATTGAATGATTAACAAACTTATATAGGAAAATGACATTGAAATCTAAGATTATTTAAATTTCAGAGGCAGTTTGGAACTGGGGCCGTGGGGCGAATTGTCACAAATACGTCTCTTTGCATGTGAAAGTAAGTCTGTTTATTTAGTTTATGTTCTCATTATCATAAACAAAATGATTAACACAGTGGATTTAACTATTGATAAAGGATCCATTATTACAGGTAAAGCCTATATCTGAATAAAAATAAATGATTTTTTTCCCGTAATATTGCATTGTAAAGAGAAACTTCTGAGGCAGCTTGGAACCGGGGGACGATTTGTTACTGGGGATGTCACTTTGCCTGTATATGAAAAATAATTAAGTCAGCGTCTTTAGGTGTTGAAAATTTATGCTTCTTTTAACAAATAATTTCATTAATATGATTATATATCATAACCCATCTATTTGTGAGTTTTTTTTTAATAATTTCTTTTAGTTATTTGACAATATACACGTTGCAGATGTAACTAATTAAATTTAAAATCTCTAAAAGAATTACTAAGATCATTTGATGAGTTTCATTACACGTGAGCTTTTAATTAAAAACACAGGCAAAAGAGGCTTAAAAGGAATGAAATGAAGAGTGTTTCGTTGTGTACACCTTGTTGTAAATGAATGAAAGTATGAATGTAATTTCCTTTTATAAAAATGCCATTTGAATTTCAATCTTGAAATTCACGTCCCACTTTTACTTTGTCATTTTGCTTAAAATGTTTAGATATGGATTAAAAAGGTGTATCATGCGAATAAAGTTGCCCTGATTTGAGCATTTTTCATGCAAGGTTGATAATCTGCCTTTTGCCGTTTTCCTACTTTTTGTTTTATCGGTTATGAATGTTAGGTTACCCATCGCCATTGGAAATTGCCAATGATTTTCCTATATTAAATAGCGACTCGGCAAAGCCAATCGTCTCAATATAGCTGCATAATTGGTTTACAGGCTACTGGTTTTATACTATTCACCCAACAAAAATAGCCGTGCAAAGTGCAATTAGGTAAAGCCTCCACAGGAAAATTATTCAATATGCTATTAACAAAGTTTTTATATTCCACAAATAGAGACATGTAGGGTTGAATGCGTGATTTACACCCTTTTCAGTGTAGTCAAATAAATAAATAAGTATTAAAACTTCAACATGTTATCTCTTATAGATATATATTATAATTAGAATTTAGAACTTTATGTTTGGGTTTATACAAAAAAAAAAGAAGCTCTCTTCCCATTTTTTCCATTAAATATGTGTCTAATATTAAAAACATTATCATTTTAAGTGTTTCGGTAGTAATGGATATTAAACTTTTTGTTAAGTGACACTTGAAATATTTATATAATTTTGAAAATTTTATTTAGAATAAAAAAATTATATATATATATATATACATATTTAAAAAAACCCAAATTTTTCTCAAATCTTAATTCCAATCTCTATGCCTAGCTGGTCATCGCCGTTTGCCACTGTTGTCGTCGACTGAACCTCTATCAGAACTTCCATGCACCTGACTGTAAGATGAACCTGATGACCCAGAACCCAAAAACACGACGTCCTCGGTGAACAAAACGACGAACCCGACGAATCAAACTTTGAAAAATTATGACACTCATACGACCCAACGACAAGCACGATTGCAAGGGTGATGATAGTCGTCAAGGAAGATGAAAAGGACGGCGTCACAACGACTGCTACAACTCTAAATAATAATAAATTAAAATTTTAAAAGAATTAATTTAAGTAAATTAGGGACCAAATTGCAAGATTTCAAAACTTGTAGCCTATTTTAGCATCTGTAAGAAGTTTAGGGACTTAAACCTGAATTTCTCATTTTTCTATCAGTAGAGGGAAAAAATGGAGTTGGTGGCTGCGGGGATTCAAGGGAAGGTCACATATGCCCTAGTCGTTTATGATAGGATACTATTACTAATATTTTTTAATTTAAAATTCATTTTATGGTTTTAAAGGTCGGGTTACCCATCCCCTTTTTTAAAAACAAAAAAATCC